TTATTTGTTAACTATTAACGCCCAAATTAATTTTTTAACCAAAGATGTTGGTTAAAACTGCCTAAAAATAATTTTGTTTTGCAAAATTTATATACAGGGGCTAAAAAAAAATGCTGATACCATATGGTATCCGTGGGCGTTTAGGACAATTTTATTGCAAAAATTGAAACTAAAATTACATGGTATTAAACAAAAATTACAACATATTTTATTACTCATTTTGTATGAAATGCTGCAAAATAATTAACACATAATCCTATGTTACATTTTTGGCACATTGTTTGGCCAAAAGATTTACAATCTGTACCTGCACGTCGTCTTCTTGGACAAGAAACTACGAAATAATTTATACCATCAAACCGTACATCTGGTACTATTTTCTTGCTAAGAGCAATTCATCCAGCAATTTCTTTCTGAGTGGCACCATACTTGTTCAAATAAACCTCTATTATTTCTCGTCTAAAATCTAGATTTGATACTTTATGATTTTTTCTGTACAAATACTATGTGTTTTGTATAGCTACATTCAAAAGCCAGGTAAAAATCGGCCAGTACCATTTTTTCCTCGAATGCCAATTCGGTAAGCAGCTACTTTTTGGTCCATAAGATCAGTTCCCCCATATTATTATTATTATTATAGGCTTCAATGCATTGAGAATGAGGCAACAATATGTACCTTTTTTCTTTCTGAGAATATCTTTGAACCTGTCGTAATGGTTGGACAACAGCATTTGTAGAGCACATTGTCACTACTGAGTTATCCATTCAAGGAACTAGTAGAATACCATCATTTTTTTGATCACTTGTTCATACTCCCCTCGATCGTTTTTTTAAACATATTTTTGCCAGTCAAAGTACATGATGGGGGTATACGATTTTCTCGTATCGTGCCTACCGCTCCATATCCTGGATTACGAAGGTAGAAAAACAAGTTTAGATGGGTAAACAAGTTATCTGTATGTAAATTCGGTTCTTTTATTACTTGTAACATAAGAATCAATGTTGTTGATGCTTTTCCAAACAATTTTTTATACTCAACATCATTATATGGATTCTTTTCCTGATATAAGTCGAAGTTAATGAGATATCCATTGTTTGAATTTAGACACCATATTTTGTAGCCAAATCTTATCGGTTTTTCACGAATGTATTGTTTGCATCCGTGACGTCTGTAGTATTTTATCCTAGACTCATCATAAGACAAATTCTGTACTTGTTGAAAATGATCAAATGTAAACATCTTTCTTTGACCATATTTATAAGTGCTCGTAACTTCCAAGCTTTATCATCTGGATTGTTCTACAAATTGTCGGCAATATGAATATACTTTTTAATTTGAATAAATCGGTTCCTTCGCATAGCATCAGCCACCAATTTCTTCTGAACATCATCTTTTCTGTCCCAGTACATCCTTCTTGGCGGTAAATGGTTGTAACCGCTCAAAATCAGAATAGCAACAAAACAACGAATTTCTGATAGTGTTATTTCGGGATCTATTTGATTTTTAAATTGTTTCTTGTCTGGTTGAGCTTTGGCTAATGTAGAAGGTTCTGCTAGTAGTGGTTGTACTTCCAATTGTGAAACATAAAATTCATCCTCATCAATTCCAATTCGTACATTGTTAGTTAGCTTTATTTCAGCTTTTGCCCTTTAATGCAGCCCTACAAATACGAAGCAAATAAAATATATAATCCGTTATGGTCAATTGCTTCTTACCAGTTAAATTATACATTATTTCCCTTTAGTCTTCGTTAGCTGAATCCTCATCTGATTCTATCATATTTAATGCTTCGGATAGTGAAAAACCTTTACTAAAACAAAAATCGTTTATGTTGCAATTATTTTCATTCATTAATTTTTAATAAACGAAAATTTCTCCACCCAGATGAGATTCGAACTCACGACCTTTAGGTTTAAAAGTAGGCGCTCTTACCACTGAGCCACAGAGGGGGTTTAATAGTTTAAAAACACAAAATAGTAAACAGTTTTAAAAAGTAAATAAATAGTAAAATATCAGTATAAATAATGGATACAAAAAGCGCAAAACAAGATACATTCTAATAGTTTTTACAGAAGTCTCAAAAATTAAAAAAATAATAAATAAAAATAAGATAAAACTACTTTTGTTAATATTTATATTAGAATAAGCCACAATTCTTAATGACATTGTTTAACGTTTAGTTACTTAATGTATAAAAAAATAATTTGATAATGAATGCTGTTTTATATAAATTTAAAATTTGTAGCTTCTCATAGCAAAAAATATTAAAAATATAATTACATACATTTATAAACATACATTTACATTATACAAAAAAATATAGCAACACTGTTACGGTTCATTGCCGTAACCTAATAATTTACCAAAATGTCATATTAAGGTACTTCTATTCACCTACCGTGCTTATATCCCCACTTAGCTTCTCGATACAATGTGCTAGATGCTAGAAAGAGGCAGAACGAACAAGCACAAGAGATCTTGTCGTCTCTGTAAATCAAAGTATACATACTAGAGTTACAAGTAATACAAAAACACTATACATTAACCAATACTAAATCAAATCGTGAATTTGCAGTTGTAGAAGCGTGTATCAGTTATCATTGAATTCAAATCGTGTAGTGAAGTACATTCCAATCAATCGGAACACTACCGTATGTTTAATAGGCTAAATAAATACAGATTTAAGTGTGAGTTATTTCAATTACTGGACAAAATCTGATACGACCACAACGTTTTATGTGGTAAAATAATTAGAACCTTCCAAAAAAACCTCGTACAAGATACACTAAAAAATAGTGCCCACTGGTTTAATGTTGACATACTAAAATTAGTACAAGATAGAAACTATCACTACAAACGGTCTAATATGTACCCCAATAGTAACTATTTACTTCAACTTTATGAAACATCTCTGAAGACACACAGAAAACATTGAACAGAAAAAAGAGAAATATTGTCAAATGGAGATAACAGCAGCTGAAAATGATGCAAAAAAATTGTAGCATATTAAACACCATAATATGTAATAAGAAGCCAACAAAAAAACCAACAACTATTTCCAAACATAACAGACAATATAGCTATTGATGATCCTAACCTTATTTCTATCAAGCTCAATTACTACTTTGCTACAGTTGGTTCAGAACTTGTTCAGGCCATTCAACCCTCTGGATATTTTTCACCAGGATCAGAATTAATAAACAACATATATTTTCTTGAAGGTTTATAACAAATTAGGAAATTGAAGACATAATATATAAATTACAGGGTAAAACTGCATGTGGACTAGACAACTTATCAGTTGATACTATTAGAGAGTTCAAGAATGAGAGATATCCACTATTTTAAGTACTCTAGTAAATATAACAGTCACTATAGTTTGCCAAATATAGCTGAAAGTGTGAAAACGCGTGACGATCATGATGCGCATTCGTCAAACGACGGACCTCGCACTCGCACTGACGAGACCGTTTGTATGTGCATTCTCACTTCATTGTTAGCGCAGGCAATGGGAATTTCACACTTTAAGCTATATTTGGTGAACTATACAGGAAGTGTTTCCAGTGTCCTAAAAATGGCAAAAGTTTTTACTATTTATAAAGGAGGTGACTCCTCAATGTCTAGTAATTATCAACCCATGTCACTTTTACCGGCCTTATCCAAGATTCTGGAAACATGTGTAAATAATAGAATCATGCACCATTTAGACAATGAAGTTACGCCAATACGGATTTAGACAGGGTAGCAGCACAACAACAGCAACAACTGATCTTATTACAATTATTATTGATAAAGTTGATATAGGTCACTCTTGTATATTTGTATCGCTTGACTTGAAGAAAGCATCAACTTGGTACAGTTGATCACAAGCTGTTAATATCTGTATTGGAAACTTTAGGCATAAAAGGCATAGTTTTGAAGTGGTTTAATGATTATCCTATCAGGAAGAACACAACTTACCTTTGTTAACAGGGTGAATAGTCAATTGTCTAATATTGAGTGTGGAGTTCCTCAAGAGTCGGAACTTGGTCCAATGCTTTTTCATATTTATACTTATTCAATTTCAATCTTTCCTTTAAAAAGTACACTACAAATGTATGCCGATGATCCTGTATTGTATACTTTAGCAAAAACCCTGAGGCAAAAAATTATGTTGAATTTGACTTACAGATGGTGAAAGGATGGTTGGATCATTATACCATTACCCTTAATGCAGATCAATCAAGTTATATGGTGATAATAAAAAGTGGAATGTATTAAATATCTGGGACTGTACATTGATCATAAACCTACTTGGGAGTATTACATACAGTATTTATGCAAAAAAATCTCACCTGCAATAGGGATTCTTAGAGGAACAGCTAATTATGTAGAAATTAAATATAGGAAAAATATATATATTACACAATTTAATACATAGCCATGTCACCCATTTAACTCTAGTTTGGGAAGAAGCCACACCTAACCATCTTCATGCTCTTTGTGTGCTTCAAAATACAGCTGTAAAAGAAGTCTTCAGACTATCAAGACTCATACTGACAAAAGAACTATTATACCCAATAAGATTATCAACATTAGTAACAAGAAGTCGGGAGACCTCATTTTGATAGCAAACTACTTAAAAACTGTTTCTGATGATGAGTTGAATAACTCGAAACATGTGTAGAACAATGGTGGAATTTGAATTAAAATGAAATGCAATATTGTACATAACTACTACAACTATATACATGTACTATAACCTTATCCCTGACACAGTGAAGGCAATAAACATCAATGCCTTCAAACAAAAATTAAAAAATCTAATTTATGAGTCCCATTATATAACCCCCTCACATGCCTTTTTTACATTAATTTTTTTTGTTTCCGTTTTGTATAAATAAATATTCAGGAAGTGGCTTTGAAAGATTTGAGGTCAAAGGGATCTATTTTGTAAATGATACACTTAACATGATTTCAAACCAATATAAAATTTATCTCATAACAATTTTTGTTTCAGATGGCAGCAGTAATAGTTCAGCTAACCATGAGTCAGAATTGGGCAATTTTCTACAGACCAATGCTACATCGACTGCTGTCAGTAGCAACAATGTACAAGTGCAATTCAAATCCCCCAATGTGGTGTGTCCCCCTGATACTGTGGTACCTAAAGTTGGTGCCAACACAGTACCCCCAAATAATGTCTCAGGTAGTAATAAGGCCTTTGCTGGACCATTTCCTTTTACCAGCATGAACCAGGTAAGATTATATTTAAATGTATTATGCTATTTACGAGTCCTAACAACTATATGTTAGAACAAGTAGTTATTTTGCAAATAAAATACCAATTTATTGAAATTTTTTTATGTTAATTTTTTTAAATTGTAAATATAAAATCAACAATCAACAAAACTGCGTTTCCTATGGCCTCAATAAAATGTAATGTTTGTCCACGCTTTTGCCAACATACAAACCCACCATGATGCCCTGTGGAAACTTTAGTTCTTTTGGAGAAAATCCTTATGAAATTCTTCTCAAATTTCACTTTTTGTCGAATCACACACCTTCGATAATCTCCCACACAGACATCAAATTTGTTTTTTCACTATAGATAACTTTGTCCCAGTTATGTTTGTCCCACGAAAGTTCTGATTTAGCCCAAATGTAAGGATTCCTTTTTGAGTTTCCATCAGCGATGGTTTTTCTTTGGCTTAACGGTTACTTCTCGTAGTGTATTTCTTCTTCCCGACTTACATATTCGAATTAAATGCACTCCTTTGAGAAACAGCTTTTGGGAGGCCTGAGCTTTTTCTGCAAACATCGATACTGGCAGTTTCACCATATTTATTAATTATATTAAACACCGTAGTTGTTGCTACAGTCAATTCACTGGAAATTTTACACATTGTTTTCCCTTCATAATACTGATGAATAATAATTTCTTGAACTTTTGGATCAGTAGAGTTTCCACATTCCATTATTATATTTTACTCGTAATAAAACTGAAAGTTGTCTTTATTCATGCTCAAATGAGCTATGGCAATTATTGTTGACAATGTACTGCCTACTCGTATGTTTGATTTCAAAGCCTTCTTTGTGTCAGGCCGATAACATTTAAGAAACGTGAGGAAAAGCAAAAAATGTTCCAACATTTAGTTGTCAGCAGTTTTCGATTATCAAACAATTAATTACATAGTATTCAATATATAATATATAATTAGGCCGCAAAAATAATTATAAATAAATCCGCATACATCATAAAAAATGTTGTTAATTTCATATTTACAATTCAAAAAACAATTAAATAAAAGAATTTCGGTAAATTGGCATTATATTCGCAAAATAACTGCTTGTTCCAACATATAGTTGTTAGGGCTCGTAATATTATATTGAAAGATATCCTAATTTACATAAACATTTTCTGAAATTACTTTTTTATTACCATATTACTGAACCACTAACTAACCCAAAATCATTTGTTTTTTCTTAGTAGTCTTTGTAGTTTTTCACATTTCAAACTTTTAAATATTTTACCAATATTCAGGTTAATTTTTCCTCAATATAACTGCTGATTGTGGCAAAATTTTATAAAACCCAATTTTTTATTAATCCATATTACTAAATGGAGCTAATTTTTTAAAAATATACCTATTCTTCAGTATTTCTAGTAAATACTTATTGTTTCTATAGTCCTAGGTTTGGTAACATTAGACCTAATTGATGACACAATTCTGTTTAATTTATGTGCCTTTGTTTTCTTCTTCAAATATTTCATGCTGCCTTTCTTTTTCAAATATTTCATGCCTTTTCTGTGTTCTTCTTTGGATATACTGCATATAACGTCAGTTTATTTCTTTTGTTGACTGCTTGCTTACATTCTTACTCAAACCAAAGCTCTTTCTTTGATGTTTTTTTTTTTTAATTCCTGACACTCTTTTTTTGCTATTTCACATATTAACCTCACCTCATAACATCTAAATTTGATTCATAGTAAGAACTGATTCGAACGGCATACTGTTCCTCTCCTAGATCTAACATCCATTACGTTTATTGCTGCTCTTCTGTCTTTTAATATATGACCTATCTGGTTGGTTGTTTGACAGTATGGTGAAAGCTATGTGGCCTTCTAATAAGCTTCAATTTTCATTTGATATATCATGTAGACCATGTTGACCTATTGTTCCTATGTATTCAGTTTGATATTAAATTGGTCAGACTTAATTTATATCTGTATACAATATAATTTAAATATTTTTCAGGCCATTCATAGTAACCGAGAAACTCCATTCAATTCACTACCCCCTCCTTACCCTGCAAAACATCCGCCTGTAACAATATCCAGTCCACTTCTGGTTAATCTTCTGCAGAATGATGGAGCTAAGGATTCATCATCTACATCAGGTGTTCAAAAACCATTGCCTGCAAGGACAATAGCTGCTTCCTCTGATGTGTCAACTACTACAGTAAACTCCTCTTCAGGACCATCAAATTTTGCATCTAAACCTAGCAGCAACATTTCTTCAACAACCTCAACTTCTACTATGAATACTACTCAGGCCAATGTGCTAGTTAATAATTCTACTATATCACCAAGCGCCTTATCAACAAACACTTCCATTAGGCAGAATAGCACCATTATGACAAGTACAACTGGTATGGTGAATAAGACACCACCACCACAATACCATAGGTCACTCTCTTCTCCAATGGTAAGTCTCATTTTATTAATATTTCACATTTAATTGTCACCAAGTTATTTCCAGATATCATTTTTAACAATAATTTGTATTAAAAATGGGTTGACACTCCGGGAGTGACCGAGGAGGGGAAGCATAGCTTTCTTATCGTGTCTTATTGTATTGTATTTTATTTTATTGGGAAACACTCGAGGAGGGGAAGCATAGCTTTCTTATCGTGTCTTATTGTATTGTATTTAATTTTATTGGGAAACACTCGAGGAGGGGAAGCATAGCTTTCTTATCGTGTCTTATTGTATTGTATTTTATTTTATTGGGGCTGCGTTTACTATTTCGCGTAGTTTGTGGTCGTGCTATCTGTCGTTTCATTGCGTTTCTGTCTTACATTGAATTTCTGTCGTTTTTACTTTATCATGCCTCTACGCAATCTACCGCTTCGATTAATGCATTTAATCTGTAGGCAGCGATAAGAAAGCTATGCTTCCAAAAAAAATCTGAAACCGTTCAGAATGTTTAACTTAAATATTGTTTTTTTTTTGTTTAAACCACAATTGCTTGTAATGTGAATATGTGTTCTCCATGTGACCTCATGAACCAAAAGCATTGAACAAATTTTTGATAGACATCAACTGTAAAAAAGAATCAAATTCACCATGAAAAAGGAAAACAACTCAACATCATTGCTGTATGTGTTAATCACAAGATATATAATATGTAACTTATGTCTATAGAAAACCAACCCTCACCAATAGATGTTTAAATTATCATTTAAACCACAACATAAATATCAAAAAGGAAATCATGAAATCATTCTATGATGGAGCCCAAAACACCGGATCCAACAAAAATACATTTTAGGAGGAAAAACCTGCTAACAACTTTTTTAACCAAAAAGGATTGTCCATTGTTATTTATAAACAAAAAATTCCACAGGATGAAGAAAGGACACATCAAAACAACAACTTATCAAAACAGTTCCAGAAATGCTCACAAGAAAAAATTTTAAGAGAACAATGATACTATATGTAATAGACTTGCAAGCATAGAAAGATCCAAGGGTACAATAATATCTCTCAGTGTTTCAGAATAAACTAGAATAATATTTCAGGGCAGAAGCTTTTAGGGCTGGGAGTAAATATAAATAAGACAAAAATTACTTGTACAAACTAGATCAAATACCCTGAAAAATTATGCTGGTCATTAAAATTGTCAGATATGTCCGAAATTGATACGCAAACTAATTGTATAGAGTGATGCAGGTAATGATCAGTGCTCTAGAAAGATCACATAAACAAGAACCATGAAGAAATGTGTTTTAAAAAGAACAAGATAAAATTATGAATGTTTTAAAACGTCATGAACCTTTGAAATACACATTCCCAAAAAAACAAGGTGAATCCTAAAAACAGTAACTATTTTAATTTCATACCACATTCAATGTATGTATATCATAGTATATTCAATAGTATTAAAAACCACTGTTAGAAGAAAAACAACAAATATTTCAACTATTTTACTAATGCAAAAACTAAATGCAGAGTTTGACACTGTCTCGCCATAAAAACACACTGCTGATAATTAAATGTTTTCAGTACTGTCAGATTTCATAGTTTCGTTCGTAGATTAACGTCACCAAATGAGCGAGTTGGTTTCATGAAATTTTTTACGAGCAATACTATATAGCATAAACTTTTTGAATATAGTTGAAGTTAAATATCTTTTCCGCAAATCGCCAGGAAATTTTGACATTCCTGTCAAAATTTCTTGAAGAAAAAGTCAGGACTTCCTTACTGTAAGGAAATGTCATTTCCTTACTGTAAGGAAATAATATTTCCGTACAGTTGTTAGTGTTCTACATAAATGAGGTATAAGTTCATGAGGTTGACAATGAGGTTGACAATTCAACCTCAATACGTTTCCATAGTAACCCAAGTAATTTTATTAGGAATTTCAAAGCACCATTTATTTGGGAATAAAATTATCGCGTTTTTTTTTAAATCAATCAATAGCTGTCGAATTTTAAACGATTTGCGGAAAAATAGTATGTTTACCTCGTATCAAAAGCCACATTCCTGGACTCTGTGTTGCTAAGTCTCGGCTTGCGCCTCGACTTAGCAATCTTCACAGTCGTCCAGGAATGTTAAGCTTTTCCTACCCGGTAAACAATGTACTATTGTTTTATTTTACACTAATGTGAGAATACTCATACTCTTAATTCTCAAACACATAATCTGTTCTTGTAGAGTGTTGCTAAAAATGTACACATTTAATTGAATTATTTACATAATATAAACATAAGGATAACAGATGCTCTAATATAGACAAACTAGAAGTTTCTGAATAAGTCACTAAATACTTTGAACCGAATAATTGATTTTTTACTCATTTGGACACAAAGTAATATTATAATATCTGAATTGTACAAATATTTCACATTTAATAGTTTACTTATAGCATTTATTTTACTCCGAGGTCGCGCTTAGTGTTTGAATGAAGAGAATTAAGTCTAGTCGTCAGATATTCTGACATAGATATCCATAAAAACGTGTCGAACAAGCTGAATTTTGCTGAGAATGTCAATTTTGGGACTACAAAAAGATGCAAAAACGTTTACCTCTTTTACCCCCGGGCTTCCCCCTAAAATCCCCCCTCGTAGAAAGGAAAACGGAAAACATCTATTTACCAAAAATTTGTACCCCGTGAAAAAAATTGTTTCAAACAAAAAAAAGTAGCTGGGACCGGCGATTTTGAACGTCAGTTACGCGCGAAATCAATTTTTTAAATAAAATTTGTATCAACTCAACGGAAAAAATTCTTTTGTAATAGTAATATCTTTTGATCAGAGATGTCTTATCGAAAAAAATCAAAATGCGTTTTAAAATATTTGCATTTTGCCGCAAATGAAGTCAGTTTCTATAAAACTTAAATAGGTAAATAAACGTTGCGCGATTTTTGCCATATTTTATGATTCTATCTCTCTTTCTCTCTCTAGTTTATAGTTAATTGGTTGTGTCATTAAATTTTTTGCTAGATTATTGAGGTGGTCTATTAGTCTCTGATTATGTTGTTGGCAGATTTTGATGACTTCTTCGAGTTGTCATTTTGAGGTCTCAGATACTGGATATAGCTACTGTTCCTCATAACTGAATTCCTTAGCTCCTAATGGGTTTTAAAATAACTTTATATGTTAAAATGTTATTGTCGATTGATAGTTTTGATTTACGGTCTATTAACCAATATAGCTTGCTAGAATGCTTTACTTTACATCACTGGTCCGAGAACACTACCTTGAGGGAGTCAAGCGATAATTGGGTAAAGTCTGGTATACTCATCATGATGTTTTACGAGGTAATGGCAGTCTTACAGGTAGGACCTTAAGATTTGGAAGTAATTGTTGGGAAGGGATTTTGCCTAAAAGATGTCTTGCCTGGAAGATTCCGGATTCACTCTTTCTAGAGTGAATACTCGGTAGCTTCTGTAGGCGAAATATGTCTGAGATATGAATGCATACCATTGTCTTTGTGGTTATTTAATAAAGTTTTAACTGTGCTGTAGCTTTATTCAGATTGATCTTGTCTTGTGGTGCTCTCTTCAACTGCCATCTACTTCTTAATATTCGTTTCTTAATATTTTTTTGTTTGATTTTATTTTTAGCGATATAATGGCCGCTTACCAAGAACCTGTTTCCAAGAGATCTGAAGAACTGTGTGAATATTGTTTGTTTATATTGTGACGTGGTGTAGATGGCTGTTATAGTTAATGGCCCTTCCCAGTCTTCAATGGATATGCTGGTGGTTTGCAAATAATCTTTTGTGGTTTTGCTATGCTCGTGATGCTTAATTGATTTCTTGATTATGACTGCAGATGCGCCGTGTGCCGTATCGTCTGGATGATTGGTGCTGTATATTAAATAATTAGGACATTTTAAATAACTGTGGCTGGTAAAGTGGGTTTCAGATATCAGCATTAGGTCAATGTTATTGTTGATTATGAAGGCTTTGACCTCTTGGGCATGTCGGGTTAGCCCGTTGGCATTCCAGAGTGCCACTTTGAGAAACTTGGCCATTTGGAGCGATCACTATAGTCAAAAGGTTTAATATCGTACTCATTAGTTCAATGAGTCCTTTCATTATTAATTTCAGTTCGAACATATTGCCTTTGGTTTTGTGTGACATCTGGTTTTGGTGTTGCTGCGCATTTGTGTTAGTGTGTTTCATTTGTTTGTTAGATGTTACCTGGCATATCTGATGTTGGGTTATATATATATATTACTTAGATTTAATATTGGTAGAGTTAACTTGCTTTGGATGAAGTGCCGGATATTTTTTCTGCTGTATCTTTGACACTAGTGCATTGTAGTATGTCTCCTCTCTGTCGCGATGGTTCAAACTTGTGGTGAAGCAGAAGCTGTAGATCAAATATGGTTTTGTTGTTTGGTGCTGGTTTAAGATCAACAACATTAGCAGTGGACTATTAATTATGTAATGTTCGATATTAACTGACTGGTGCATATTTTTCAGTACTACTCGGAGGCCACGTTCTTCTTTCAGTATATATATATATATATATATATATATAATATATATATATATATATATATATATATACAGTGTAGGAAAAATTTTATGGTCGGTATGGACCTTACGTGAGATGGAGTGAGAAACAGCTGTTTAAAAAGAGAGAGGTATATTAGGTACGCCTTTATATCGCCGAATGGAAATATTAAAAAAGGGGAAATTCAACGTTGCCAAACTTATTGGTTTTATTTGACCTGTTGTCTTTTTTTGCATTTGAACAATGTTCTATCAAGAAGATAAAATGCTCAAGATAATCAAATTTAGGCGAAATTGATTTAAATGGCAGGTTACTGTTTTTTTTATTGGGAATATGCCACAAGTTTTCTTTACAATAATTGTAATATAACATTTTGATTTCCATTTCGGAAATCGTTTTATATAAATAAAATTTATTAATGTTTCGTATTTTAAGTACGATTTCCGAACTAAAAATCTAAACATCAAAATAATTTCCCAATATGAAATAATAAACAATTAAACATGCATACAATAACGCCAAATTAAAAAATATTCATACACTAATTTATTTGGCAACGTCTAGTCTAGATAGTCGTCTGGTCAAAAGATCGTGTAACGAGAAGTAGAGGTGGGTCGTGCTAGTTTATCGTTAAGAGCGTAGGTGCAAAATTTCGGGGCAATGTTTTTTAAATGCATTCATTTTTTTCGAATCCTGAGAAAACTAATAAATATTTTTGAAAAAATTAAACGCAGAATGAAACAATACATTATTACCGAGAGCTGAAAGTCCCTGAAAACTTCTATAATGTTTATTTTAATAAGTTATAGGGATGAAAAAAAAAACAAAATTTAGTGTGATTTTTAATTTCAAATATCTCATTAAAAAAACTTTTTGTTTATTCTAAGGGACCTTCGGCCCTCGGTAATAATGTAATCTTTTATTCTGCATTTAAATTTTTCAAAAATATTTGTTAGTTTTCTCAGGATTCCAAACAAATTTAAATTTTTTTGAATGCTAAAAAGCATTTAAAAATTTTAATTTTCATAAACAAGTAACTATGATTGTTTAAAAGTAGTTTCAAGTAAGATAGTACCTACATAAACAAACATAACGGCTATTATCGTTTATGTGTATAATATCTTTTGAAGTGAAAGAAACAACCTAATGATATATTTATTATAACTTGAAAAATAAACTAAACAATCATCATCATCATATAACGGGGGTCCTACGGCGATTGCCGCTTCCCGCATTTCAGCCTCCATCTTTTCCTATCTCCCCAATCTCCCTCTTCTAAGCCTCTAGATTGCATTGTTTTTGTAATTTCTCTTCTCCAGGATTTGGTGGTCTTCCCCTTTTCCTTCTTTCTGGCGGAACATACATTAAGGCTTTCTTTGGCCACCGCTCCTCCTCCATTCTCATCACGTGACCATACCATTGTAATTGCCTTCCTTGTATTCTATCTGAAAGAGTATCTCTAATTCCTGTACGGTTTCGTATTTCCTCATTCCTGATTCTTTCCATTCTCGATACTCGACATGACCTTCTAAGATAATCCATTTCCACAACGTCTACTTTATCTCGTTCATTCTTTGTCATCGTCCAACATTCGGCACCATATGTGGTAATTGGTTCTACAATTGCTCTGTATACGCGAAGTTTGGTATGCATCTTTATTTTATTAGACCACAGTAATGAATTCAGTATTCGGATGCATTTTTTCCCTTGGGTTATTCGGTTTTGTACATCTATCTTAACTCTGCCATCTGCTGATATGATGCTTCCTAGATATTTATACTGGTTGCAGCCTTTTATGACTGCGTTTTCAAGCCTCAGATCTGTGGTATTTCCTCCAATTTTTAAATATTCTGTTTTAAATATTCTGTTCTAAACTAAACAATACAAATAGTAAATCGGACTTACATTTACATTACACGTTATTATTAAATCGCGAATAGTCTAAATTGACATAAAAACTATTGTCCTGTGTTAAATATTGTCCTGTTAATGCGAAGTAACTCTCAGTTACTCCAGATGTCCAGAGGTCAGTAGTAATACAGATATTTTCTACTTCTTTAACAACTTGCGATCTAATAATTTGCTCACTTTTGACATAACATTCCTGAAGTAATGAACCTGACAAAGTTTTTCTTGTTGGCGGTTTATATCCAGGAATCCACCCTGCAAACTTTTTAAAAGCTGGTTCTTTAACTATGGAAAACGGATGAAACGAAAAGTTTAGTAAATCTTGAAAATCAATCAGTCCAAGAAAAAGAAACTGATAAAGATGACTTAAGTCCATGGTGTATTTTTGATGAATTAATTGGACATGACTCATCTAAACATACACCTGTATCGAGAGGTATAAAAGAAGTCGACATGTAATTGTCTGATGATATATTACCCACAAACAATTTCGAACGGAGATTGGAACTGTCCATTACCGTGGTGAAAAAACCATCGCCATGTATATCGTAACTTAACCACTATATTCATAAAATGTTGTAGTATTGTAACAAAATCTTTTCCTTGTGAACACATGTTTAACATCTGGTATAATTTTAAATAAAAGAAGAACGCGATTAACAAGAAAAGTGGAAAAACTTATGTTTTTAAATGTCAATTTAGACGATTCGCGATTTAATAATGTGTAATGTAAATGTAACTATTTAAGTACCATTTGTATTATTTAATTTATTTTTCAAGTTACAATAAATATATCCTTCGTTAGGTTCTTTTATTTCAATACTTATACACATAAACGATAATAGCTAATATGTTTGTGTACTCGCTAATTTGAATACTGGTAAACAATCAACTAGTTACAGTTTACGAAAAACTGTTCCGATAAAAATTAAAAAAACGAGAAGACCCACCTCTAGTTTTTTAGGTATATTAGGATCGGAACCACAGAATATCTGATCGGAACTAATCGTCTCACTAATGTGCAATGGCCAATGAGTGTTAAAAGGATTTTAGGAGGGGAGACGAAGGGGAAATATGATTGTTATCTTTGTCTAATTCATTGAAAATATGATTTTATATCTGCGTTAGATATCCTGTTATAATTTTACCATACCGATATTATATATATTTTACCTACACTGTATATATATAGATATATATATATATATATATATATATATATATATATATATATATATATATATATATAGAAATTAGGTTTTCTCTTGTCTGTTAGGGCTTTAGTTATTCTATAATTTTCCCATGCTTCTGTTGGTCTTAGCTAAGAATCTTTATTGTGTAGCTATCTTCGGCGATTTCGTCCAGCAATTCTATTAAAGGAGTGACATTCTGAACTCATTAATAAATATTGGAGGTGGTTTGGAGGTTTTAGGTTTTTCATCAACATCTGTCTGAAATGCTGTCATTTTCGCTCTTTAAATAATTATCTAGACTTTGAAATCTGTTAGAAGTAGTGGTTGGTAAATTTAACCAATAATCATTTTTCGTTTGTTTCAGTTCTTTTATCAGGACTGTTTCGTGTGTATATTGATTGAGGATTTGGGGTTATTGGATTAATTGTTGGTTGTATGGTGTAGGTGTAAAAGAAAATTTTGGTACATTACCTTGTATCTGTTGTTGTTCAACGAGCATCTGTGGTTGTGCAAATTGCATTAGTTAGGGTTCATACTGTCCTGTTTGTATCATGGTAGGTTGCATCATATTTTTGGGCGTTTGTGGCATTATTTCACGGGCATCATGGGCGTAGTTGTGGAGTCCATTTGGTTGTTTTATTGTTTATGGTTTATTTGTTTAACTTTCTTTATTAGGTATATATTCTTAAAAACGTGGAAGTTCGATTTTAAAATGTCACGTTACGGGGAATACCTCCATGAAGACGGCATTGGGTGCAATTTGTAGCTGAAGTTGTGTAGTTTCGAAAGATGTACTGTGCAAGAGAAATGAAGCATTTTTAAACGTTTTAGATCGTTTGTAATGTGAACCTTTAAATTCAGCGTTTTTAGACATATTTCAAATGCCTTATTTGTTGCTAAAACTCAAAATCGCAATTTCAGGTTAGAGGTTTTGAAGTTTAGGTTCTAACAATGGAATTCCATAGTGACCAGTCAATGGAAGGGATACATTTTATTGACCTCATGAGAATCGAAGAAAATGGCAAAAATCACGCAACGTTTATTTAACAGCTTTATAGAAACTGACTTCATTTTCAGCAAAATTCAAAAAATGCATACGAAAGCTGCACTATTGGCCTTTAAAACCCATTTTGATTTTTGTTGATAGTAGGTACACTGATCAAAATATCGAATTTTTACCATTAATGCAAATTTTATTTAAAAAATTGATTTCTCGCGCGTGAATGACATTCAAAATCGCCGGTGGCTTCAAGCGTTGTTTCTGAGAGAACTGTTCATTTTACACAAACATTGCTAATAAACATTTTTGTTCAAAATTATCTCAGCTACATTTCTTGTTTGAAGCATTTTTTTCTTCGGTGTACAGATTCTTGTTTTCCTCTCCCCTTTAACCGGTGGGTGGTTTATGCATTTTTCGTATCTTTTTTGGAGTTCCAAAATTGACATTCTCAGCCAAATTCAGCTTGTTCGTATGATTTTTAGTGGTTTAGTTGCATTTTCATAAAATCTGATAAAGGCTTGCTGATTATTGAAGTGTCAAGATATATTTTGTTTTTAAAATTCTATAGGTTATTGACACAATTTATTTTAATATTTTGAAGTCAAGAACCAAGATTTAATATTTAATCTTCTTTTTATTATTTTAGGTAAAACAAAGTCCTGTTGTTGGCCACCAGAACTTGAACACTATATCTTCACCACTACCAAACAACTCACTTTCACAAAACACTATAGTATCTCAGGGTACACAATCAGTAACTGTGCCTCTACAACAAACTAATGTTTATCAACAGCAAATAACAGCCTCATCTGCACATCTTAAAAGCCCAAGTAATAATAATGTTAATCCTTTGGTTCAACCAAATATTGCATCTACTATTAAACACTCTTTATCTCATAAACTGGTTACCTCATCCAATATTGGGAAGGCGTCTTCTTTACTTAACACTTTGCCAATCACAAAAACTATCCCTCAAAGAGGTAATATTCTACCTAATATTTTAAATCATCCCATAAACAATACTCACCCAAAAATGGCACAACCTAATGTACCATTACCGAAAACTCCTGTTTACATACCTCAGCCAATAAAAAATAACTTTTCTCAGAATATTGGAAATGTTTTATCAAGTTCATTACCCCAGTCGGCATCTATAGCAACAACTCCTATACCTAGTACTTTAGAATTGCCAACTTCCAGTCAAACATTCAACAATATTGGTTTAAGAAATATGCCTTCACCGCCTCCTTACTCTGTAGCCATATCTAGACCATGGGATTCACTGGTAAATAATGGTAACTCCCTTTTGGATCTAACACCAACGTTGACAGATTTAAAACCAGACGATCTTGATGAATTGCTACCTACTTTGGAAAGGGAGTTGACTCACAGTCCTCTGCCGGACTTACCGGAAGATTTTCTTGCTGTTCATTCGAATATTATATCTACTACAGAAGACCTGCAACTCAATGATAATCGGAAATTTCTCATCAATCCTCTGACGGGCGAATTGGAACCTCAGTCGAGCGGAGAGAGCGACACGGAAGAATTGAAAGACGTTTTTACGGGTTTACCATCGCCTGCAAATCTTTCTGACGAAGATACGTGTTCAACAACTCGACCCGATACGACAACCGATCAGAGTGATAGTGAAACGCGTTCCAGTGACACCACCGCCAAAACTGTGAGGTTAAAAAACCCCAAACCTCGCGAGAGAGGAAGAGATTCCCCCGCTTTGAAACCAGAAAAAATCAAATTAAGGTTAGTCAAAATTTCAGTTTTCTTTTTATTAAATACTTTTGTAAAGGTTCCCTATACCTAAGTACAGGGTGTTTTGATTTATTTCGATTTTTCTAAAAATGTTTAAGAAAAAAATTAAATATATAAGAATCGGAAACAAATTTGTTGTTAGGCCTCAATAAAAGACTATTGGTCCCATAGAAACAGATATTTATCGTAACAAAATTCTTTTGCAGGGTAGTCAAAATATTAGATTGTGTTATTAGCACAGCTGTAATTTTAATAGTTTTACTTCTACTAGTCAAATGGCAAATTTACTTAGCTTTCAGACTGTATTAGGATTTCCTATACCTATCTCTTTTCATTTTTAAAATATTTAAAGATTTCCTAGTTTGTCAGCTTTAAACATAATTATAATCAAGTATATTTTTAGTTGAATATATTATTTTATATAGTATATTATTTTAGTTGAATTTGAAGTCATTTAATTTATCTTTCGTTCAGTGTAGGTGTTCTCTGTACATAAACTCAACGGGTAATAAGCACCACTTTTTTCTTTGAATATTTGTGCCTTTTTTTCAGGTAAAACAGGCTGAAACTTACAAAAATGAGTGATATCTTAATCAAAATACTTGTATGTAAGTGACCAAAATTCATAATTGACCGAAATAACCCAATAAAAAATGAACAAATGAAAAAGCAAAAAACAAGTAAAATTGAATAATAAAGACATAAATTAAATAAATTGTTCAAAGTGACGCACTTAATAAACATAATTGAATTCGTTTTTAAAAGCATCGTTTTGGCTTTAAAAGTCTTTCTCCTGTTACTGTTTGAAAAACAGTCCTATTCTAATTTTCAAATTTTCTTGAGTAATCGATGGTGTGTTATACACTATACTCTGTAGGTATCCTCTAAATTAGGGGTTACCAAATGGCGGACCGCGGTTCTTATCCGGACCGTGAGCTTATTTTTTGCAGACCGCCGTTAAATATAGTAATAAAATTATAGTATAAAATTATAATCAAATTATCATCAAAGTGTGTTGTAGAAATCCAAATCTTCACAGTAAAATGCAAAACGTAATTCCTAGAAGACAGTAATGCTCAGTTTGACGATTTGCTTCTTCATAACAACGTAAGATGGCTGAGCAAGGGGTTAATGCTTGAAATATTCTTTGCAATACTAGACAACATAAAAGAATTTCTGTCCACTATCGATATTGAACAAAATTGAGGCTTTCGAAATATGGCTTTATCGTAGAATCCTAAAGATATCCTGTACCGACCACGTTACTAACCAAGGCGTTTTATTAAGAATGCAAAAAGGAAAAGAGTAAAGAATAAAAACAGCCAAAATTGAATATCTCGGTCACATAATGATGAACGGCGAAAGATATGGGTTGCTGCAATTAATTTTTCAAGAAAAAGTAGAAGGAAAACGAGGACCAGCAAGGCAAAGAATTTCCACGTACGTGGTTCAACACGACAACCACAAGTCCTTTCACAGCCACAGATTGCAAAATACAGATTGTCATGATGTTCGCCAACATCCGATACGGATAAGCACTACAAAAAGAAGAAGATCGATAATAAAGCTGCAAAAGACTATCTGGGCTTCCTCTTGGACACAGAAAACGTTCCAGTTATCGCATTTTTGGCGGATATCTTCAGACATCTGAACTTCTTGAATTTAAAACTACAATGCAAGGGAAAACATGTTGGCGAACTTCTGTCGGATATTAGAAGATTTTCTAAAAAGATTGAACTGAGGATTTTCCAAGGATATTAAGGCAGAACTTTTGCATGAAATCTTTGGTAATGAAACTGTGTACTATGTTTGGCTCAACTTATGTGTGCAAAGCAGCTTTTTCAAAAATGAACTTTATTAAAAATCGGTACAGATATCGGTTGACAGATGAACATCTCGGAAAAAATAGTTTTTAGATTTATAAAACTTAAAACAAAAGTCAATCTTGCATTAAAACTAACGTAGAAAAGATAACATGTTATTTACCATTTTGGATAAATTTCTAACTTTAAAAATATTTTCAGTAATAGTTTAAAATACTGACGTGTTCAAGATGTACTGATAATAATATCAAAACAATACAGAATTTTAAATATTATTTACTGTATCAGGAAAGTATTCAACTGAACACTGGCCAAAAAACAATGAGATATTAGTTTGCTTTTCCATACTTATATAGTATTTCATTCGCCGTAAAATGTACAGAACTGCAGCACAGAATAATAAACAATCAGAAGGGCCACTCTCAGATGCCGCCTTTGAAGTTTTTCAGCACGCGCGCCATGTTTTAGGAGGACACAGACATATGATTTGTGTGGTTATGTAATTGTTTATATTTATGTTTAATTATATTATATTTATGTTATTATATTTAACAATGTTAATATAATTGTATAGTATGTCTATGATTGCCGTAAGTCAAATAAACCTGGTTAATTTTTCCATGCACACCACATAAACAACACTAATTTCTTTAAAATCCTCCTAAAACATGGCGGAACGTCTGCGCGGAGGAGATGCGCGTACTTAATTTTCCGTGGAGAGTGGGTATTCTGTTTGTTTATTATTCTGTGACTGCAGTTATAAAATAAACAAACTCTATTTAAGGTAAGCAGTTACTAACATTTATATCTTGAAATAGAGTTAGATTTGTTCCATAAAATTGTTGAACACTACAGTTGCAGATATAAAACAACCAGAAACAGTAGCATTAAATGATTAAATTGAGTTGTAAGATACAAATTTTTCAAATTACGCCCGAAAAAATTTATTAAACAAAGGCGGGGGAAAAAACAAAATAATAGTTTATAACCATATTTTTTCTTGTGTTTATTTTATACCCCTCCCAAAACGAGGTTGCCTAGTTTCAACTACGTAACCTGGATGATCTCCTGAGGGGAGTTACAACTACTGGTGGATTTCTGGGTAACCCCTCTCCAGGTTACGCCACTGCCTGGTTTAGTGCCGAGTGTCCGGACCGCGGAAGTGCTGTAGGTTTGCGAAACGGACCCTCAGGAAATATAATCGGTGACCCCTGCCCTAAACGTTCATCGGATTTAAGCTCAGATTTAGAATTACATCATCAAGAAGGCCAGATACTTTTCCGCGAAAAACTTCTAAAAATTATGTGCCATTAAGATATCCATAAAAACATAAAGACCTATAACATGCGATCCTATTATTCCTTCCCATACGTTTACGGACCACTTGTGCTGATGATCGAAAGTACGATAGACGTGAGGAATTTCATCACTGTATTTATAATAAGTCATTTCTAATAAAACTTAATTGTTTATCCGAAAAAAAAAAGCATAAAAATCAGAAATAAAGAATACACTATTCTTATCACTTTTAGAAGTGCAAAGGTAGCTGTTGGTATTCTATTATTCTTTTGTTCTTGTTGATGTGAGTAAACTGTCAAGTCGAATCAAATGTCAAACATAATTTGAAGTTTAATTGCGTTGATTTAATCTCAAGAATTATGGCTTTAAACCCCGAAACAGCGGCTGCTATTGTTACATTGCCTTAAGTCGGAAGAAGTGAGCGATATGTTGCCCAAAAGTATCATAGTACTATGAACCGTATTTTACACGTTTCTTGGTAACCGGAACTTACACTAGACGACCTGGAACCGGTCCCCAACGAATAACTAGTGCCCGTGATGATCGCTTCATCCTCTTACAAAGTCTACGAGATCGTCGTGCCGCCTGTACAAATTCAGTACGTCCGGAATACTAACGTAAGTGAACGAACAATTAGACGAAGGATTGGAGAAGCAAATTTAAGCAGTCGCAGACCTGCAACAGGCTTACAACTTCTCGGACGCCATCGAGTTGTGCGGTTTCAGTTTGTCAGAAACCATGCTCATTTTACTGGAAATAATTGGAGGCACGTTTTATTTACCGATGAGCCCAGGTTTCCCTTTCGGTCTCCAGGTGGCCGTAAGAGAGTATGGCGAAGACCACATGAGCGTTTTGCAGAATGTACCTTCAGTCCTAGGGTAGGCTATCAAGGGGGCTGGCTCAATTGTGGTGTGGGCTGGAATTTCTCTTGAAGGGCGTACATAATTGTACATCGTTCCTAGAGGCTCCATAACAGCTGCCAGGTACATTGATGAAATTCTCCACAATTCTGGCAAACCAGCATTCTTCTTCTTCCTATGCCGTCCCCATTAACGGAGGTTGGCGACCACATTTTTAAAAGATTCTCTGTCTTTTGCAACGTGGAATAATTCGTCTACAGTCATGTTTGTCCAGTCTCGAATATTTCGCAGCCATGACTTCCTCTTTCTACCTATTCCCTTTTTGCCATCGACTCTACCCTGCATGATGACCATAGATTAGATGAGGGATAGATAACCTACTTCTGTACAAAAAAATGTTGTGATCATCAGCGCCACGTTGGAGTGTTCTGGTACTAATCAATATTTTTATCATGTTGGAGAGCTTGCTAATTGACAAACGCCTTGTGTAGTTGGTAATATTGTAAAGTTGGTAATATTGAGAGAACTCTAATCCTGTTTATATATTCGAATAAATGTGACAAATTAGTTCTGAAAGTTTTTAGAGACATTAAATTAGACCAATAATTTTCATTTAATCAAACTCAAAACATGTAGTAATTAATACATAATATTAAATTAATATGCTATGAGAGTAGGAATCATAGAAGCCTGTACTAACTTCTAACTTAACTTAAAAAAAAAAACAAATATCCTTATACCACGCCTTAACTAAACAATTAATATTCTAATCCTAAATACGATATTTCAATATTCTAATCCTAAATACGATATTCCTTGATCAAACAGCACTTTTAACTAAAACACAATCAACATCAATTAATATTCGACATTCGAGAATTATGACAATAATATTCGACAGACGCCAGTTATGAAGACATCGCTATTTTAGCACAAAACATTAATAATGTTTTGTGATCTACAGAATCTACCGATAATAGCGCTTGTTGGTGTGTTCTGTAACTAATTCAATGATTACATTTTACGGATTGAAGTTGAACCCCCCTGATGATGACCTGCAGAAGACTATATTTATTATTTCTTAGTATGTGTCCAAGGTATGCAGTCTTGCGTACTTTTATCGTTCTCAACAATTTTTTGACTCGACCCATTCTTCTCAGCACTTCCTCATTGGTGACCCTGGCAGTCCATGGGATTCTCAACATTCTCCGGTATATCCAAAGTTCAAAGGCTTCAATCTTTTTAACTATTTGCGCTTTTAGTGTCCATGTTTCTACCCCGTACAATAATTGCGACCAGACGTAACATTCAACAAACCTCAGTCTCAGCGCAATATTCAGATTTTTGTCACAGAACAATTGTTTGAATTTTAAGAATGCTGCCCTTGCCATTTCTATTCGTACCCGGATCTCTTGGTCTGGATCTAATTCTGTGTTGATGTAAGCTCCCAGATATTTATATTTTATCACTCTCTCTATTTGCTGTCCACCAAGAGGTAGTTGTTCATTATTTATTGGACTCCTTGATACTATCATAAATTTGGTCTTATCTGTGTTGATGTCAAGTCCCATTTGAATGCATTCACTATTTATTGCATCTAGTAAAGTTTGTAGATCTTCTATACTCTCAGCCATAATTACCGTGTCATCTGCAAATCTCATAGTGTTTATGATTTCTCCACCAATTCTTATTCCCTCTAAGAAAATCTGAAGATTTTGTTCTGCCTTATGCTGGTTTTGTTGGAAATGACTTTGTTCTGATGCATCATAATGCCAAGCCTTACAGTGCGAGAATCACTCAACAGTTTTTAAATAAAATAAACATTCCTGTCATGGATTGTCCAGCATTGAGTCGAGACGTAAACCCAATCGAACATGTTTGATTTTAGGCATGCTCGGGAGAAATAAGGCAATCATTCGAGCAAGTGGAGAAAACATTTATTATTAAAATCAGTTTGTCCGGGCACAAGATTTAAGTTTTTATTAATTGAGCGTCATTTTGTTACGCCATTTACTTATCTTTTTTTTCCTTAATTTTTAAATCGTTATCTACTGAAACAGTTCTTTGTTGAAAACTTTTTTTTTAAATGACAGAACAGTTTGTTTCTTTATGTTATTATAATAATAAAAGTTTAAAGAGAATTAAAATTTTAAGTTTTTTTTAAGGCAAGTGTTTCGTTTTTCGTGTCGGTGAGTGTATTTTGTCCATAACCCATAAACAAAAATCGTTTCGTTGTTGACAATCCATTTGATATACGTCTTGATGCATCTGTTCTTTATAAGGATGAAATGTGTGTTTTTGTATTATTTGTAAGGTACTGCTTTTACTAATTCCAGTTTCTCTACTAATGGCCCGATGTCTTGTGTGTAGGTTTTTTATTAGTGAGCCAATAACCTTAAATTCGTTAATATAATTATCTCTAACAGGTTGAGGATGGACAATTTTTAATATTCTACGATTCCGTTAGCTCTAAACTGTTGTAGTAATTTTTCAAAAGTATGTCTATTAGGCATCTTCTGATTTGGGTATTTTAGCCATAAACTCTAGATGCAAATAAACAGTTTTCATTGTACTGACCAAAAACAAAAAATCATATTAATTCTTTCTTCTTTAGTATAAGCCACCAGATTTAAAAATCGTTTTTTCTTACACTATTTTATTAATTATCAAGAAGAAATTTGTCCCTGAGTCTTAGGGTCGTAGGTATTTAATTTTTTCTAAAACCCTAAATTTTTAGAAAAATCGAAATAAATCAAGGCATACTGTATTGAGGTATAGGGAACAATGTATAACTTATCAAATATAGGGTGTTCTATAAGGAAAAATATAATTTGATATACCAATATTTTTTGGAGCAGCCTTTATAATTCACATTATTTTTAAATTGTAGTGTTAGAGCCCTGTATATTTATATGAAGAAAAAAACGGGATGGGGCATTCCGGGACTTTCCGAGGAGGGGAAGCATAATTTTTTATCGTTTCCGCACGGTGTGATGGATATTTTATTTTATTAGTTCTAGGCTTAAATCGCCAAAATTCTTGGCAAATTCTAAAATTTTCATATATATATATATATATATATATATATATATATATATATATATATATATATATATATATATATATATAAAGGAAAATGTAAATTAAATGGGTATTTTAAATAAATACTTTTTTTAGATTAAAATTGGAGAAGTCTGAACCAATTAATCAGGCATACAAAGTGGATGTTAGTTTTATTAACCAACAACCAAAGAAGGCATCTTCATCATTAATTACAGCTGGGGAGGAACTTCGAGTGCCACCACTTCACATTTCACTTAGGGGTAGGAATTCGGCAGTGATAAAAAACAAGAATAAATTGAATCCTGATGGTACTCCTATGAAAGTAAAGGTAATATAGAATTTTATTCCTTATTTGAGGTTAGCAATAATTTGTTCGATTAGCATCAAGAATTTAAATGCATTTTACCCTACTCTGTAAAGGAAATAATTGATTCATAAGAGACAATTAATAGTTAGAAGAAATTTGTAAAATATAGTTATCAAATTTGTAAAATATAGTTATCATCAACTTATCGTGACTAAAAACTCAATACAGTATTGCCCAAAATAAACAGTACTGAAACTGAAACATAGATGTCTCTTTGTGCGCGCTGTAATATTCAAGTTAACTAGTATAGACCTGTCAAGTAATCCTTAAACAATTAATTATTAAGGCCTAATTGTTAAAAATGGTGTTCAGTACAGAGGAGAAAGTGTTTCTTGTAGAGACAACCTTTATTCCATAACATTACGAGAAATCTCTAATATCGGTATGAAGTCTTTCTTGAGTCAGTCTTGTCATTTAGAACAGCTTATAAAGTGTCAATAATATGATTTTTTAAAACAATAAAATAATTACAAGTTCAGTACTGTTTATTTTGGGCTATACTGTAGTATCGAAACACCAATTAACAAACTATAGTAAAATTCATTAAGCGGTGCAGGAAAATATAAACATTAAATCGTGTCCGAACCGGTATGAACCGCCGATAACATCGCCAGACGAAATAAAGATGGACATTCCGGTTAGTTTTTAAATATTTTTGAAGAACTGTTACTTGCATTTATGCATAAAATGTTCATTAATTTTATAAATCGGAGTATTTTTTCACTTACTTTGTATTCAGTGATAACAATAATTTATTTACTATGCAATAAACACGAATATTTGAGAAAAGAAAAAAAATAATAAAGTGTCATAATTATACTGTTACTTATCGGAACGAGTAGACTCATTTGGAACATCTCTAACAATTATCTGTTAAATTTATCGTTGTTTATATGCCCTGCACCGCTTAATGGAATAAGGTATAGTCAAGTACTAATTTCTTTTTGGCAAATGTAATCTAGCAAGATTCCCGAAACCAAATTCAAATACGCAAGAAATACAAAAAAGCTGCCCAAACCCGTAACAATTTTCACATGTTGCTTTACACTTTTCAAAGATTGGAAAAGAAGGTATCTCTTATGGCTATTATTCTTCAGTATATATATATATATATATATATATATATATATATATATATATATATATATATATATATATATATATATATATATATAGTTCAATTATGATTTAGGTCAGTTTAGATTGGGAATGAATGGCCGGATCAGTGGTGCGAATCAACCTTTATCCCTCTCTACAAAAAATTATTACTAACTAATCATGCAGCAATTACAGAACTATTACACTTATTCCTCATGCAATCAAAGTTCTGCTAAATATAATAACGAGCGGCTAAAGAACTTTCTATCTACCCAGAGATAGCTGAAAAACATAAAACCAACCTGTCAATTCTGGAAGAGCTCTTTGTGAAAGACAGGCTATTAAAAAAAGTAAACCGAGCATATCTAATTTACTTCGGCCATATAGCTAGAAGAGCGGGGACCATGGAGCTATTGGTAGTAGAAGGAAAGGTAGAAGGCCGAAGACCAAGAGGAAGATCTCCAACGATGGGTAGATCAAATGAAGACTCTGGTGAGAAAATCCCTACAAGGAACCGTCCATATGGACAAAGCAAATGGAGACAGCAAGCCAATAATATTTAGTGTCACCACGCCCTACCAAGGGCTCAAGGAATGAAGAGGAAGGATAGACTGGGTGGAGCTAAGTAAAATAATCTTACAATGCCTAATACCAAATATGTTAATGAGAAGGAATCAGATATTCTTTGTGTGGGATTGAAACACAACTAATTGAAATTAAAATTACATGTTCATTTTTCAATATTATTCCAAAGCTATTTTCTTGTGACATTTTAATTAGGTTTAGGTAATAATTAGGTTTTGAATTTTCCAGTTCAGAAAAAATCAGGACCATGTAAAGATAAAGAAAAGTGATAGTGGTACCTTTATGAACTCCATCGAAGACAATGGAAGTATTAATTCTCTAGTGATGGATGTGCCATCTTCAATTATATCTGATGAGATTAAAGCGAGGCTTGCCAATTTAGACCAAAAGAAAAAGAAGATAAAAACAAATCACGAGCATAAGGTAAATATATTAAAATTGTATTTTATTTTTAAAAACTCAACTTATTGTATAAATTGGTAAATATTAAAATTTTTTATGGAAATCTAAATTCTAAATTATGTGCATACATTTCTGCTGTAGGGTGTTTTTCTCATAGTCTTCTTTCAATGTGACTATTAAAAAATATTCAATGGTTGAATAGCAGAGGTTTTATCGGTCAATAATTGGCAAATAAAAGTTGTCAACTACTTTATTGATTTATTCGAATACGGTTCACTTTTATTTTTAAAAGGATCATCAGTTCACTACAAATAAAAAAGATTTTAGAATATAAGTAAATAACCAACAGAGTTCATACTTACAAAAATAATTTGTAGGTTTTTTTTAGATGTTATAAAATCTCTACGAGATATAACTTAAAGATTAGGGAATTAGGGAAAGAAGAATGGGAATGAAGTTGCTGTCTTGTAAGGGGTTTTATTATTTGTTTTGTATGATGAGAGAGTGATATATCTGGCTCAAGTTGTCGATGTCGGTTCTCTTATTTAGGGACGATGGATGGTGGATCATCATGTGCGGCTTTATCTACCGTTTCCAATTACGGTGCAGCCTCCCTTATTTCAATGTTGTTCTATGTTCTTATTATTATTCGATGATGTCTTAGTTATTCGTTGTTCTTATAATTTGCGCTCATTTGTGCCCATATTTTTTAATTAAATACCCCAGAATTTTCCACTCAGAAAGGAGTCCGACAAGGAGACACCATATCCCCTAAGCTCTTCACTGCAACCTTAGAAAATATCTTCCGGAAATTAAACTGGAACAACCAAGGTCTATGTATATATGGAGAATACCTAAACCATCTTAGATTCTCTGATGACATCATTCTAATTGCTAGAAGTCCTGAAAAATTACAACTACAAATTAATGACCTTAATACAGCCAGCAATGAGGTAGGCCTAAAAATGAACCTAGCAAAGACTAAAATAATGTGTAATGATCTGATCGCCAACGTGGAAATAAAAATTAATGAAACCTCGCTAGAAGTAGTAGACGAATACATATACCAGGAGCAGCTCATACATAAATCGGGATCACTACTTCCGGAAATCAACAGACGAATAAAACAAGCGTGGTCAGCATTCGGACGAAATTCCATAGTCTTCAAGTCCAAAATGCCACTAGGCCTTAAGAAGAGACTATTTGATCAATGCATATTACCCGTCTTGACATATGGATGTGAAACTTGGATATTAAAGAGAGAAATAACGTCGAAACTCCAAGTAACTCAAAGAGCAATGGAAAGATGTATGCTAGGGATAACAAAGAGGGATCGTAAAAGAATTGAATGGATACGGAGGCAAACCCAGGTGACTGATGTAATCCAAAGAATAAAATCCCTGAAATGGCAATGGGCAGGACATATAGCAAGAAGAACAGACAACAGATGGACCACTAATGTTATCTGTCAAGGAAATGTTATTCTCCTTGACCAATAACCTCATTGCAGTGAGATTTTTTCCCCTGTGCTCTTTTTATTGATGAGAAATGCAAATTTGTCAGTTTCTCGTAATTTGATAAACAGTAACCAAGAATCTATAGGAAAGCCGTTTTTAGTGATTATTCTTTATTTGATTAAATATAAAAGTACAATTTTTAGATTAGTTTTTGTTTTTCTTGCAGGATATAATTACTAGTCTGGCGCAAGAGAGTGATCTGAAGTCAAAATTTGTGATACACAATCACTACAAAGATAAACAGAAAGAAAGACGAGGTAGCGATTCGGAACTTGTAAAAACCAAGAAATTTCTTGATGGTCACGTAATACCTGATGACAAGAAAAGGAGGTTAAGCCAGTCTGAGCAACCTGAGGAAGACCAGCCTGTATTGGGTTCCACTAATGTAGGAACCATCACGAGCCTGCCGCAGAAAGTGAGAAAAGACAAAGTAAAAATCAAAGATGTGTTTAAAAAAGACGCTAGCAAAAATAACAAGCTCTTTCACAAAAATTTCGGAGAAAAATTACAGACAAAACCGGTGACCTTACCCACTGCCGGAGAAATGAACATGGAAGCGAAGTTCAAACAAGGTTTACTTGAAGGAACGGGAGAGAAAGGTATTTCAAGGCCGCCACACCGAACAGAGATTGTGAATCATCTCTGTACTGAACCAAATAGACGAGAAGCAGCTGAGGTAAGAATTTTTATTTGTAAAAATTTAAGTGTAGGCAATTTTAAATATGGCGTATATTAGTAATTCGATGTTAGCGTATGACCTTTTAATCTGCATAAACAATAATATTTGACTGAATTCGATCTGATATTTAATACCATTCAGGAACAATCTTTATGATGAAACTTTTCACACTTGCTTTGTTCATAACAATAGTATTTGTTTAAATTAGTGGGGTATTACAAAATTCAATACTGTACTTTTAATTCATTTGGATTCTTGAATGATATTTAATATAATTACTATCAATTGTATTAACGCGATGAATATTTTAAACAGGATGGGCATGTAATTTTTTTATGTTGCTTTTAGGACTATGACAAACTAGGCTTCCTGAGTGGCACTATTCAGGTTGGGCGAATCAATTATCAATATAGGTTAAATTGGATGTTCACACATGGCTAGTACCCCATGTGAATGTCCAATTTAAATTATCTTGAGGTTCGGGTCGCCCTACCCAAGTACCACAACTCAGGGAGTATTGTTATCAAAGTATTTATCCTTTTTGTTTTTGTAGACAATTTGTATATTTTCAAAGCTGTCCGAGTCTTACTGAAACTATTCCATTTTTGAACTGCGTGTTATGTGTTATTCTTATTGGTTAAGGTATATTTGCTTATTCTTGGATTCCTTTTTTTAAGTGATACAGAAAAAGTTTTATCCATTTCTGTCAGTTAAATAATTTACATTGTTTCACCCATTTTTTATCTCTAGTTAATCTACATCATGTTTAAATAGCGAAATAATTCGTTTTACTATTTACAGGCAGTGAAGATGATACGTGAATCCAATCCCATTAAAGACAAATCTCCAGAACCGGACAAATGTAACACGCCTAACAGGAAGTCAGTTGAGTTGGGGGAAAAGCCTGTCGTAGTAGGAGTTGTAGGTGGTAGTCGGTCACCAAATTCAGGAGCCAATCAGGGTGAAGATAGTGGGATAGAAAGCATGGACGCCCTCAGCGAAAAATCCCCTAATCAAGCGAGTCAAAGTCCGCATGCCGACATTTTACCTCCAAAGACCCAAGTGCCTAACATGCTGGACATTGAGGCGCAACTCGCTAAGATGGAGGGGTTGAATGGGGATAGTGATAGGATAGTGGAAGGTATTGATAATATAAGTGATTATTAACACTTTTATACATACACACTTAAAATATACCTACCGAGAATACTGAAAATTCAACTATTTGCTAAGTTAATGAATAGAGTATTTTTCAATTAAAAAATAAAATATTTATGTACTGATGGTTTCTTTGATGAAAAATCATGTTTAAACTATGCATTATAATACTTTAACGTGGTTTTATTGTATCATTATAATGTTTAAAGGGATATAACTTACCCTAAAAAAAACTTCCATGACTAGAATGTAAGATACATTTTGATGTGCCTCTGATTCTGAGATGCACTTTGGTGAGGGTAGAAACGAAGTAATAAGTGAACTTACCTTTTGTACTAAGCTCACCATCTTGTTGCTTATAGTGCCATCTCGTTCTTTGTTTGCATCTTACAGACAAAATGAATTTTGCGAATCAGTACTGAATGTAATTACTGCAATAATACTCCAGTGTTTTTGATTATAACATGATTTTCATAAACGAAGTATCCATCTCAAAAATTCATTGACTTAAATTAACTTTTGTGGATATGCGTATCCAAATTTCCGAAAATGTGACCAATCGAGCAGATTTTTTGAATGTTACTACCTAGTAAGTGGTAAATAATCATAATTTTAAATCGTTTCGTCAAAAACAAATATAACAAATTTATCAGTTAACTAGAACCTTGTAATATTACGTTCAGAAATTCAGTACTATATATAACTAAGTTGCTAATCAAGTTATTTAATACCACATTCACATGCTTGTGAAGTTCTAAAGACAATTTGCTTCATTCTGACCTATATCCGCCGTAACATTAATTTACAAATGGTATTACAAAAGGCTATGGGCAGTGAAAGTGTTAAACTTAATATTTTACAAGAAGCTTGTTTTTGGTAAATTTTATCTTACTAGATTTTGAATATATTTTAGACTGTAAAGATTATGTTTAGACACATAATTTGCCCAATAGTGACTTGAATTTCATTAAGTGTAGTTATATGAAAAATATTTTTATTTAGGTGTCGCGGAAACAGGACCTGTAGAAGATGTTAATGAAAATAAATGCCATCAAGACCAAGCAGTAAAAAACTGCTGTGAACTAACTTGTGCTTTACAGGACAACCGCAAGCAAGGAGTGGCATCGCTTGCTGCTGATTTGGATTCACCACCGCCTTCTGTTAACAAAGTTGATAGTAATCTTGGTCCTCTCAAGGTAAGATTAGAAATAACATAACTAAAAATAGATCACATTTCGTAACCAACAAAATTCCCTTTTTATAAGTAAGATGTTAAAAATTATTGTTTTTAAACATTCTCTAAAAGTAAAACATTAAAAACTTTTGATTTCCACATCATCATCATCATCAATGGCGCTACAACTCTTCGTGAGTCTTTGCCACGTTTACTATTGCCTTCCATGTTTGTCGGTCCTGTGCCAGTAATTCCCATTGTCGCACCCCCATTTTCTCTAGATCTTCTTTGACTGCATCTTTTCACCTTTTACTAGGCCGCCCTACAGACCTTCTTCCATCTGCCATTTCCCAGAACACATTGTTCATAAGGCGATTGTCGTTACTGCGTATCACATGCCCTGCCCATCTGAGTCTATTGGCCTTTATATATCTGACTAGATTTTCTTTTCCGAATAGAGACTCTAGCTCGTTATTGTATCTGCCCCTCCATTCGTTTGTCACGCTGTCTCTGCAAGGGCCATATATCAATCGAAGAATTTTACGTTCCCATACCAGCAATTTATTTACTTCTTTTGTTATCGTCCATGTTTCGCTTCCATTTGATTTCAACACTTCCACAAAATTTATTTTGAATTATTGTCACTATAGCTGTTTCGGCCAGAGTGCGTTTCTCAAAACAGCTGTGTTTTTTGTATGTGTTTCTTTGCTCGAGAAGGCTGTAGTGTTTAATAATTTAAAATAAATTTTGTGGCAGTGTCGAAAACAAAAATTTTCAGTTTTTTATTAGATAAAATGAATTTCTTTCAAGTAACGGTCGAATCCATCACTTATTTTATAAAAGATTTAATGGCATACAAATTGTTTTGGGTTTAAACCTACTTTTCTTCAATGACGTCTGAAATGTAAATGATGTAAATATCTAAACAAGCAACAAAAATATAAAGAACAATCGTGCAGGCTTAGAAGTACCCAGAAAGAATAAACATCGGGAATTATGTTTTAACTAAAATTATTTTAAAGACTTCTCATTGAAAATAATAGCCTCGACTCATCATACATCAATGAGTAATAAAAAGGAATAATTCTACTTTAATTATTGTGAATGGGTAATATTTTGACGGCTAATAAAAAATATGTGGTTATTACTTACTTGATTATCACGTGCGTGTCCACATAAGAAGAGCTTTAGAAACACTTGGTTTTGTATATTAAAACTTAAATGAAATTAAAAAATAGTGACATAATGTTGATTATTGTATGTGAATCCAAATTTAGCCATACGGCTCACAGTCCCCCTAAGGGGAAAATTCACTCATCTCAGATACCTACGGTATCAAAAGGATTGAGCTCTGGTGGGACTCTTTTCCTGTTATCGAGCCCTAGGTGACTTGGTATGTTGGAGTATCTCCCAAAAATTTTCTTACGCATCTAGATGTTGAGAGCAGTACTGCTTTTTGCATGGGCTTGTAGAGATGTTTTCTAAGAGGCTCTTCGGAATAACTCCAGTAGTAGAGAGAATAACAGAAAATATCGTCGAGTACTTTCCATTCTCCACTGTCTCCTTATTTGTATTTCCAGATCACTGTACTTGGCTAATTTTTGGTTTTATTTAACACGCAGATTATTGTTATATATCGCCACATCCATTAATGTTTTCTGTCTAGTAAGTTTATTAACTAGTATGAGATCCGGTCTTTTATGTGCCACTGGTTGGTCTGTGAGTACAGTGTGGTCCAAGTAAAGTTTATAGTTGTGATTTTCAAGCATTCTGTCAGAGACGTATTGATAATAAGGAGATGATCGGTTTGGCGAAGTCCCAGTTTGGTAGCTAGTTCTTGGTGAAGAATCTTTCCTACTGATTCATGGCATTCTTTGTAATCAGTTCCCACAAACGCCTGGCAGCCCCCGTAAGAAGTTGGATGGTAGAACATGAGGATCTTTGACAATATATTTCAGGTAATTTTTATTTGGAATAATCTGATCCTAAATGGCAAAGAAACCCGCTGTCTCCGGAAACATCTTTCCTGATCTCAACCTTAGTTCGACGCCGTATTGTCGACATATTCATGGTTGGTCTCATTGAGATGTCGCCCATGCAGAGGTTTACTCATCCAGATGTGCATTTTTTCTTGCTTAGTCAGCTGTTATGCGCATTTCTTGCCCCCTCAGTTTGAGCTGTGTCATCTACTGCGCAAATTGCTCGATGTAAAGTAGATGTCTCAGCCTGCATCTGAAAATAGGTTCTTAAAATAGCTATCTGTTTATCCAGTTGCTTATCTATGTCCATAAGTCATACACATACACATGTTGTTCCCTCTACAGCTCATACTTTCAGTTGGAGACTTTATATCCTTTCTTGACAATTCCAAATGAGTAGTTAAGCGCGGACCAGGCGTACGGTATCAAAAAGATTGAGCTCTGATGGGAGCCAAAAGCTCCGCTCAGCTAATGTTTGAAAAAAAAAATCTTCCAAACATTTGAATTATTTTATCGAATTTGAAAGTTATTTTTATTAATTGGCAGAAGTTTATGTATCCGACATCTTAGGTATTCCGAGAACTACAGCACGGAAAACTTTCCATCGCTTTATAGAGACTGGTACATACTCCGTTGACCTGGTTCCGGTCGTAGAAGAGTTACCTGGTAAAGAGATGAACGTTTTATTGTGATGGAACTTTTAAGAAATCGCCATCCCACTGCAATTGCTGCAAGAAACCGTCTCTCTACAGGAGGTTTGAAATGTGAATGTAAGTGAGAGAACGGTTAAAAGACGCCAATGAAAGGGTACTAATGGCAAGAAGACCGGCTAATGTTCCCGAATTACAACCCAGACACTGTAGGAATCGATCAATTTTTGCTATACTATAACATCAACACTGGGTATACAGGATTGAAGTTGAATTCTCTTTACTGATGAATCGCGGTTCTGTTTGAAGTCTGAAGATGGCCGAGAGAGGGTTTGGAGATGGAGAAATGAAAGATATGCCCAAGCTCATATGTCCCAGAAAAGAAAGTTTGGCGGTGGTGGTGTGATGGTTTGGGCTGGAATATTATTTGAAGCTCGAACTAAACTTGTTTTCATCAATGCCCCTGAATACTCACCGGTATATAAAGGATGTTTTGGCAGAAGCAGTAGTTTCATTTGGTCCATTTATTGGAAACAATTTCGTCCTTATGTATGATAATGCTCAGTCGCATACTGCAAGAATCGTGTCAAATTACTTGAGAGAAGTAGGGATTAATACTCTAGAATGGCTAGCCTGCAGTCCTGATCTAAATATCATAGAATATCTTTGGGATGAATTTCATCGTAGGGTTAGAAGTCAACCAGGCCAGCCAGAAAGTCTTTCAGAACTTCAAAACATGCTTCGTGAAGAATATGAACGTATTCCTCAAGTTTTTATTCAAAAGTTGTTCCTTTCCCTTCCGAATCGTATGCAAACAGTTATTGATGTTTTATGGAATAATACCTGATATTAGACAATTTTGTTTAAGTTTACTCGTAATTTGTATTGTTTGTAACTCGTTTTGACATTACACTATTTTCTTTTGTAGCCTTCTAATTAAATAAATAATGCTAAGGACTCAAGCAGTAATGGCCAATTTTTGTTTTAAAAATGAAAGATGTTGAGTATACGATATAAAACAGTGCATAAAACTTCCAATTAATTTTTATTTTTGGAAATTTACAGGATGGCTACTTTTTTTGCCGATCAGTGTATTTTATTTTTCGAAAATAAAATTACCCGAACTCCTGGACTATAAAGTTGAGATTAAAAAAAACTTGTTACATATTGTATGTAATTATACTTCAGAATCAAATTTGTAGGCAGTAAATTCTCCGAACTGTGAATGCGATAAAGCGACAACATCGTTGCCAGTTTGTGATGATAGATATTCTAGCAATTTATAATTTAATCATTCACATGCAGCAAAATTATCATATTAATGATCGTTTTGTATTTGTTAAGGTATCTAATAAAATGTATTTAATAACATCAATGTTTATGTATAATATTATATTTATATACAATACTTATATATAGAAAACTTCTAAAATATGATATTCTTTGTAAAAGTCATACATGACAACATCGTATTTTAGGACCGGTAGAAAGAAATAGATCAACGTTGTCATAATATAGAGAGAGATAAATTGCTCATTGATTTCCTAGCTTAGCATTCAGTAGCGTATCGTTCACACTGTTGCAGTGAATTTTAAAAATTAATATACGCCGTTTTAATTTGTCAACTGCTTGCAATTAATTGAGGTTTAGTACTTCAATGTATCATTTTAACTAATATTTTTATATCTCGTTCCTGCTTGTTCTTAATGTGTGGTATGAAATTTATTTTCCTAGTTAAAGAATCTATTAGATTTCTATAATATTCACCGTCTGTGTATTATCTTTCCTTACTTTCAGACTTGCCTTTGCTGTTTTCACCATTTTTTGTTTCGGTACGATGTTGTTACATCTTAAACTTGGGGAAGGCCGTGTATTATGATAACGCATAGCTGCCTGCGCTATATACATCTCGGAGATTTTTTATTGGGCAAAGACGAAAAAGAATGAAGTATTTATTTCTTCTGTTCAGACATATTTTAAAATACGATCTGCCAAATATTAAATTTTTCAAATATAAAAATTTTCTAAAATATTTATGTTTTACAATTCAGTAATAAAGTTTTTAATGTTACAAATAAATTACAGGTTAAAAAAGAGGAAGATGACTTAGAGCCACTCCCTATGCGAGTAACTCCCGCGTTGTACACGTACTCAAATCCGGACAAAAGCCGCGCTGGATCAGAGAGTCCCGCTCTTTCGGACGAAGACAGTAATTCGTGTTCGACCACCAGTACGGTTCCAGGTAACAGCAAGCATAGCAAGAGCCTTTTGGAACAGTTACTTATAGAAATTCCCAATGATCACCAAACGCCGAGCTCACCAAGTCCAGCCACGCGATCATCGGTGCGAACAAGGGCGCTCTCTAAACTCAACAGTCCAGAGTTAAATTCCCCTGTGACAAAGAACTCAACATTGCGAACAATACCTACCACCAAAAGGAAAAGGAATGAGTCGGATAGTTCGAATCATAGTGTGGAAGAAACTAAAAAGAAATCACGCAAGAGCCTTAGTGTGACTAATAATGTTGAGACGAACCAAACGACTGATATAGTGGTAAATATATTAAATTCAGTTTTTTTCTAAAATTCATATTAGTTCCAAAAATATTTTTCGTGGCATGTTTTATATTGAGCACTGTATTTTTTGGTGTAAATAAATCACGAATCATTAATTAAAATTACATATTTTTGATGTTTTGACTTCCACTCCGGAAATTATTTTCATACAACTTATAGATTATTGATAATTTTTCTTCTCTAAAAAGCGTTGTGTTGTAACAAGTATTTTTGCCTTTTTCATATAATGAATTTATCAACGGAATGCAGCAATATCTGGTTAAGGATGCTAAAAGAAGCAACTATTAAAAAAATACCAACTTTCACAAGGTAATAACTTATCACAAGGACACATAATTGAAGGGCTGAGAGGAAAAGTGGTACAAGTGACATTTTGTATAAAAGTGAGATATGTGCATGAGTGGCTAGAGGATGTTGAGATTTATTAATATAAAAATGGTACAAGTACAAAACACACTACAGTACGGACATCTGTATGTGAGAAGTAAAAGCTCTCACCAATTTCTGGTAATGGTTTTCTGTATAAGTGGTCCAAGCGTACATGTCCCACTTTTGTTCTAAACCTTATGTAGTTGTTTGTGACAGCCACGTTTTAAAAGTGTGCAGGAATATTAATACAATTTGTGAAATAGCCTTAAAATAATGCAAGGTAAGTCTTCAATGCGTTTTATATTTTTTCAATTGTTATTTTATAGGGTTATTTTATTTATCTATGTCTTCAAAAAGTAGTAGTTGAAAGAAACTTATAGCATAACCTTAAAATGTTTCTTTTTTGTTTCAGAATCTGACAGTTATTCGGAATATGACGATTCAGAAGAGGACAGAAACTATAATCCAATAGAAGAAAGTAGTAGCGATAGTAATCATGATCTACAAAACATTGCAGATGTTCATTTAAACAAGTCATTAATATAGCGATTTAGAGGCAAGTAAGAAAACGAAAAAGAAATGCAGGTGAGGAATATGTAGGCTATAAAAACAAGTTAGTAAAAGCAAGAAGTTTGCAAAATTATATACATACTTGCAGATTTCAGTGTCAAAAATTCACCGATGAACAAAGACAGGAAATATTTAACCAATTCTGGGGTCTAGGAAATTGGAATCTGCAGAATGCATTCATTACGTCTTGTACAGAGATCGCTTTGCCCAAACGACGACGTACAGAAGCTGTTACTAATAAAGAAAAGAGCGTTACTATCAAACTAAAAAATATGAGAGTTTGCAAAATGTTTTTCTTAAAAACCTTGGATGTCAGCAATGGACGTTATTCGAGAATTTTAAATAGGATATCTGACGTTGGAATCACCGCTGTTGATAAAAGAGGAAGAGCTCCATGTCCTAATAAACTATCACAGGATGTAATTGATAAGGTAAAACGACATATTGATATGTTTCCAAAATATACCAGCCATTACACCAGACATTACAATCCCCGTAGACGGTACCTTCCTTCATTTTTGACCATAAGAAAAATGTATAAGTGTTACCTAGAGCATTGTCAAGAAAATAACGAAGCTCCTGTCAAGGAATGGTGCTACAGGAGAGTGTTTAATACCGAATTTAATCCAAGTTTTCATCATCCCTTGTCCGATACTTGTAATAAGTGCGATAAGTTCGAAACATCAATAAAATCGTGCATAAGTGAGTCAGATAAAAAGAAAATAATGTGCGAGAGAGAGAGCTTTATCACCAAAAAGCCGAATCGGGAATACAAGCCAAAAAAGAGGCAAAAATAGTGGCTGAAACTTCAAGGAATGAAGAAGTGGTATCAGTTTGTTTCGATCTACAAAAAACTTTACCTACACCAGCACTTACAACCAACAAAGTGTTTTATATGCGAGTATTATGGACATATAATTTTGGAATCCATAATTTGGGCAAGAAATGTGCTTCAATGTATATGTGGGATGAATCGGTAGCATCCAGAGGCTCTATGGAAGTTTCTTCATGTCTTTGGAAATTATTGCTGGTCTTAATCAAAATACACGACATCTTATTGCATTTAGTGATTCTTGTTCGGGACAAAATAAGAATAAAAATATTGTGAAATTTTTTATGTATGTGGTTAAAGAAACTCAGCTAGAAATAATAGACCACAAATTCCTTGAACCGGGACATACCTTCATGAAATGCGATGAAGATTTCGGAGTCATTGAAAAGTACAAAAAGCAAGTACCTTATATTTTTGTACCCAGTGAGTGGATGAATGCTGTGAGAAACAGTTCTAAGAAGTTTAAATGTGAAGAAATGAAGATAGAGCACTTCATTTCACTCGAAAACTTCAACGAGTACGTGCAGGAAAATATTAAAAAGGATGATGAGAATAAGCAGATAAAATGGAGAGAAATAAAATGGATTCGGTTTGAGAAGAAAGACCCATTTACTATGAAATTCAAGTACACTCTCAATGAAGAGACTGAATTTATAACTGTTAACTGTATGAAGAATATGCATGGAAGAACACCTCAGAATATTAGTCTTAGCAAACTGTATAGTTCACGCATGAGTCTGAAGTATGAAAAAGGGAAGAATTTACAAGACCTACTATGCTTTGTGCCACTAATTTACCATCAATTTTACAATCAGCTCAATCACACTGCGAAGAAGGGAAAACAAGGTCAGAAAAAGAAGCCAATGCAACCTGAAGAAAGAAAAGAGAAGGACAATGAAGATGACGATGAGGTAGAGGACAATGATAAAATACTTTTGAGCGACTATGATGATGAGGAAGATATTTAGCTCAGTTGGTAGCACGTCTATATAATATCATTTCGTTATTATTTTTATGCATTTTTTGTTCCTGTATTTTTGTGCAATATACATTTTGTTTTCGTATCTAATGTAGCTTCTTAAATAAATGTTCAAAAAATTACGTGTATTTCTTTTATAAAAGATATTATTTATTTATTTACTCATGGTAATATTTACTTGTACCATTTTTACTCTAAACAACAAAAATGGTACATGTACATTTTGTAAAAAATGTTTCAAAAAAACTAAATGCTATGTTTTTACATTTTGTAAAAAAACTATATGATTGTAAAAACTGCACATGAAAACATTAAGAACTTACTAATAATAATATCTTGATTAGATTTTAAAATTTTGTTTGGTCTTTTTGTGCCACTACTTAAACTTTAACTCTCATTTTCTCAAAACTATCTAAATGTCACTTGTACCACTTTTCCTCTCAGCCCCTCAATTATAATAATTAAATATAGCATAACACTAGGCATAAAAGATCAGTATTTGATATCAATTTTATGCTTTATAGGTATAACATTGGCTTGTGCCACTAAGATCGAGGCAAAGTAAGTCTATACTGTGGAGAGTTCATTTCCCGCCAACTGAAAAAAACGTATTGAAAGATTTTGATATTGATAGTTATTATATTTATACAAGTTTGTTGAAAACTATTTCTGGATTGGAAGTCAGAATAATGTAATTTTAATTATACTCATAGTCATTTTTATTAATTTATTTTGATGTTTTTTTTTTTACTTTTATAAACAAGTAGGACTGGAAATATTAACTATCGACCTACATATAAGCTTTTTATATTTCAGCTGAAGTCTCTGCGCCAGACAGATCCTACCAAAATAAACAATGTGAAGAAATTACCAAAAGTACAACAGGAAGATAGTTCAGATAGTGATGAACCTCTAACTGAGAAAATACGCAAATCCTCGTTAATTGTGAATACTCAAGTGAATAACAACACCAACTCGATGTTGAAAAGCATGAAAACGGGGAAAACGGGGCCGGGGAGTGTTGCTAATAATAATACGACAGTGGCACCTACGCCGAAAGGGGGGACTTTAGTGGTTAGTACTAGGAGGTCGGTGAGGAGCAATATGCCTGCGCAGAATACCAGAAGCAAGGGTGAAAATGTTAAGGTGTCGTCCGAGACCGAGGCGTTGAGAAGAAAAACTCGAAGTGCAGGTAAATAATTTATGTGATTACACATGTTTACTTTTTCGGGAAAGAAATATGAATAAAAATGTTTGTAAGAATTTAGGCTTTGAGCCGGTATCCCCCAATCAGTATTCATTAGAGGAAGTTACTTGAATAAGATCATTAGTGATTGAGGGGAATGATATATTAGCGAGTGTCGACGTATCTTGTTTACTATTGTGCCGGTTGGCGACTCTTTAGAATGGATTAGTCAGTAGTTCCTAGAAGACATTACAAACGTTTTTTGTCACTGCAACAAAAACTTCATGAGAATAGAGAAAAATAAAACATATTTCATTCTTAGATGTTTTAATATAACGAAACGAAATTTTGCACACAGAATAATAATATACTGAAAACCAACTTACACTTAAATGTTTTATGAGTTAAATCACCATTCCAAACAAAAGAAAGGAATCCTAAGAACCTCTAAACTAATTCATCGCTTCTAACTCTTTCTTAGCCAAAAGATTAAATTGTTTACGAAATACTGGCATAAACCGGTCGTACTGCAGCCAATGAGCTGACTCTTGAATTTTTACGCTCAGTATATTAATGCTCTTACCACTCTGCACCAAGGCAGTTATCATGAACCAAATAGGTCCAAAAAAAAGGAACTGTTTAACCGTTAAACATTTGATGTCTCACATCATTTTTTAAAGTAATGACAATAATGTTGTTTTTTTTTTTTAGTTTCTGATGTTGAAAATAAACGGAAAAAAGAGGTAAAGTGACAGTATGAGAGCGGCTGCTTGGAAGGCAGCCACCTTAATCTCCATCACGTACAACATCAGCAACATGAAGAAGGAGAAGCGAACGTATACCAGTACCCACTGTACCGCCCTTATTTGTGCGATCTGTCGTCATCGTCATCATCGATAACGTCATCTTCGTCAGAAAGCCAAGATGAGGACGACAGTTACAGTAGCGAGGAGGAGTCAGATCAGTAAAATCCTCTCCTTACCTCTAAAACTGTACAGATTGTGATATGCTACCTTAGTCTGGTCTATAAGGACAATAATAATCATGTAGGTTCTACAGTTGTTGACTGACTTAATTGCGAATTCGAAAAATATTTGTAAGTAAATTAATGTCGTTAAAGATATTTAACATTATGATAACAACTGTCTTTGCAATATATTGTAATACACCATAATTAATTTTTGAGATTTTTCTTTTCTTGATATTATTTCTTAATATTTCTTGGTAATGTTACAGAGAGCTCCCCTAGCCATGTAACATTTCACTATTAAATGAATATCTAAAATCTAATTTGGCCGGTGGAAAGTTTAGAAGGAATTACGCACCAGTCGAACTACGTGGTCTAGTAGGCTCGAGCATGAGAAAAAATTTTAGTGACACTAAACAAAACACTGTTAATTAAAAAATTATATTGGGATCAAAAATAATTCACTGAAATATAACATATACAACGTACCTAACAGATCAAATATTAGAAACGTTTTTTTTTTGTATAAAAAAAGTATCAAGTCATTACAGTGCTGAATATCTGACGATTCAAAAAAATTGTTAATGAATTATGTTATAAGCTACCTTGCATTATATATAGAGTAAATAGTATAAATCAAAATGGAAATCTAAAAAATAACAATATAAAATAAATACATTGTTGTCCAACAGCATACTTAAAAATTTATTAGTTTCTTCTCTTCTTCTACTTCATTTTTACTTTTATCTTATTGATTTTTTGTCACTGTTATATCGTTCTATTTATGTTATTGCACACTGAAGCATAATTTGGTAATTGTGAAAATTACTGTTACAATGAAGAAATAAAAATCCGTTTTTAGGAATCTCTTTGGGATGGGTTGAAGATTGAAATGGTTTTATTTCTTATCGTTTATGTCCTGATAGCAGAATAAATGTAGCCTTTACTACCTGTACTACTACGAGCAGTACTTTTAAAATGGAAATATTTAAATATGCTAATTGTTGTAGTGCCTTTGCTTTTATGTAAAAGGATAGTGTATTTCGTCTTCAACGATATTATTACTTACAAATACTTGGAAATCTTTTATAAAGTTTAAGTCACACTCAAACAACCGAAAGTTCAAATTTATTAGCCTCCTTACTGACCTTGCTAAACAAACTAAATAGAATTGTACATAGATAGCAAATTTATTGTATATATATTATATACAAAATGCATAGTTCTTACACAAGCAGAGGTGTACATTGTAAATGTGTTATTTTCCATACAAGCTACGGCATAAAATAATATATATTATATATTATAAAAACTATTTTACTTTTGTTTACTGCGATTTTACGTAGGGTGACACGAAATATATGTGCGTGTGCGCTGACTGTATATTCAAGGATTATAAATTGAATTTTGGAAATCCTGTAAATATTAGAAGAATCATTTTTAAAAAAATGACATTAATTTTTTTTAAATTAATTTATGACGTTTTAATCAAAGCTAATGAACGCCGATTTTGTATTCACATTAGGGAAGATTAATAATATATCGGCTACTACTTTTTAAAAATGTATTGGTATATGTATTGTCCTTTACCAGTTATGATCCAGTTGAATGTTTTGAATTTCATATATCTCTAATCTTTGTCCTTCTCATCATAATATAGCAATTTATGTTGAATCATGTGCATTAAATATTATCAGTTCTGTGTTGGAAATTTTAATTATTAAATTTGTCCTACTTTTTTCAGGTATTAAAAATATCCTTATATACTTTATTGGTTGCTTTATTTAACTTAATTTTGAGTCATCTTTGATAATATTTATGAGTAAATCATATGGTCCACATCTTAGTTGTATTTCATATTTTACAAAAATTAAATCTTGGTCGTTGGGTTATTGACATGACATGTCAGTCAAAAGTATTTTATAGAGCTGCATTGAAATTATGAATAATAAAGTTACTGCATCTTGTCATTACATATCTTCTATTTATACTGTCAAAAGTGTATCTACATAAATTTTTACTGTCTCGTGCACTCTAAAATTTTCGATAATTTAATATTAACTCTGAAAAGTAACGTTATCGTAACAGTGTGGCTTGTTTGCATGTATTAAATATTTATTTAAGGTATTATCAATATTATTTCTATTTACTGTTTTTGATATAAAATTTACGTTTTATATATTTTTGGTGGAATTTATTTCCAATCTATTGTTTAAATTTTTCTTTACTTGTTATATTAATTTTAGATTTTATTCGAGTTTTTTCTATTATTGTCTATGCAATTCTCATATTGTTATTTTAGTTTTATTCAAGTTTTAATCATTGTTTTTTCGTTCTATTAAGTATATTGGAAAATTATAGTAACCTTACTTTGTGTGTATTATATTGTTTCAGTAAATCCTCTATTTCGATATTTAAATTTTTCAAATATTTATTGTGGGTACTTTAGCAACTCTTTAGTTACATCATTTGGCAGTGTGAATTATTGCCACTTTATATATAATTATTTTTATTCCAATGAAATTAGAACTCTTTGTATTGATTTTCACTAAGATTTGTATAATAATCTATATTGATTATGCATGATCGTTTACTATAGAGATAGTTTTCGGATTTTCAAATGACCTATCGTCGAAAGTCATTCCAATCTTTCTTACAAATACCGACACCACATTTTAGATCGTGTTCTTCCAGATATATATGAAAAAGTAGATTTTAGGTCAGTTGGGTTTAAGATAAGAGTAGATTGGACTACATTCGACATATAAAACTAGGTAAGATACATCAGGTAATCAATTTTTTTATCCAAGGTATACTTTTATTCCCAAAGTTAATATGGTATTTTTTGTTCTTTTGTTTTTGTTTGTTACATAGTATATAAGATAACAACTCGGAGTTAGCTGGGTCAATCTTTCAACTTCCTTTCTATAGTTGAAAGATATAGAGTACTTATATATAACCATTCAGTCATATTTTAAAATAATAAGACTTCACGACTTATCACAAAATAAATTTTGTGTATGTGTAAGAATGAGTTTGGTTTTGGAATGAATCTATTAGGCTAAGGTCGTAAAATAAATATTCAATTTTTGTCTAATAGCAGAATATTTTACATGCACAAAAAATTCATACTAACATTTTCTAGGGTCTCCAAAATTCTATATACCTCGGACATACTGTAGATGTGTACAGTTGTTGAACAGCATATTGTTTATGTTTAGCTTAGTTGTACTTTTATGTAATTTGTTTTATTTATATACCACAAAGCCTTGTAGATTTTAGAACAGCCTGTGAGAAGAAAAAATAGAATTCAATAGATCTCCCTCAATTTTGCCAATTTATAAGACACTTGATTCTGAAATATAATTAGAATTTTTATTAAAAAAATGCTACGATCGGTTGTAATTTGCAGAAAAGTTACCGATTTGAATACTGGTGTGCTGTAGTTTTATTAATTATTAAAAAAAAAGATGATATACTTGATCTTTTATTTTTATTATATACTTTAATAACTTTTTTCCGTAAATTCCATATTATTAATGTGTCCCCGAGTAGCCATGTACTTATAATTATTGGTAGCAGCATGTTATATCTTACATGTCAGTTTCCTAAATTTTCACGTATGTACTTTATAATTAAACTTACCGATTTTAGATTAATTCAGATATTTCAAATAATATATAACACATCAGTCCATTCAATTTAATAATAAACTAGTTGTCCAAAATAATGTATGTTGTCTAGAATAATAGAAATAAATTGTGAGAAAAAAACTATAAAACATTAAGTCTTATAAAATAAATATTTTACAAACAAAAATACAGGTATAAAAGGGTATAAATAAAACCTATCTCTCGATACTCATAAGCAGCATTTCTTCTTTCGTTTACCAACAGTAGCATTGTATTTCTTATATGTTAATATTAATTTCTATATTTTTTAAGATACTCGTATTTACAGAAATAGCACATATTTGAATAACAACAACAAATCCAATCTCCTCTCACTCACCGGCTGATCTAAAATGATGTTTCTTGTTTCTTTACGTAAAATACTTGTAATGTTCTTAATTGTAGATTTGTGGAAAGGTTGATGATTATAAACTATACATTGTTAAATAGAAATACCTTAATATTTATTTAGAGATTTTTTTATTTGATTTTATTTCTTTCTTAATTCGGCGTTGCTTTGTTTTGTGTTGCGATTCCAGTGAAACGTAAATGTTTTTCAATAAATAGCCTGTGTTATTATATACATCATTTCTTGCGATTTAGGCATTGACTGCGTTTACTTTTCTTCCATTACCTAAAAAATATCTAGAAATATTAGAAAAAAAAATGTGATTATAAATGATCAGAACAGACTTGACACCTCCTACTCCGTAAAAGATTCGGCTTCAGTAAAAGAAAATGCAAAGTAAATACAATTCTTATTATTAACATACCGGTATTAAAAAGAATAAGTTAGATCAAGGAAATATTTATATTAAATTATATACATTTTAATTGAAAATATTGATTTAAGAAGTACTTTTAAAAAGATTTTGTACAAAACTTGTTATGAACAAAAATGAAAAATATGTATCTTAAATAATAATCAGGTATATGAGTTTTCAAGATAAAAGTTTTTTTGGTAGCTGTATATTTTAATAACTAAATCCTTTTTCATGTAGTTATGAATCCGTATTTTCCAGTGCACCCCTAGAATATTTTCTTGGACGTTTTCGTGGTTATCCTACTGATTGTCAAATCGTAGAATTACTGGATAAAATTACGGCTTTTAATAATCGGCGCTTAGGAGTTTTGAAAGACACAGCGGCGAGCTTTGGAACGTGGGTATATAAATCTAGTATGGGGCACATTTGGATAAAGATTTGAAACGTACCAATGGAACTAGACAGATTTTGGTATAAAAAGAAAGGGAAAAATAAAGCCACCTTGCCTTTTTTAGAGGGATAAGGAAAATTCGACACCTGACGTAATGAGAAGATTGGTTTACGAAAGATTAAAAAAAATTACAAATAATGGTCGCTCGACACCCTGTTAGATATTTCCCAAAAGAAAGGAAGATTATGAGAGAGCAATAAATAAATAATTTCTACTAATTAAAAACTTTTACTATTCTGAATCTGTTTTCTTGTGGTATCTTAATACAATTATACAATTACTATTTTCGTTGGGAATAAGCCGCAATATGCAGAATTGTGGAAATTGAAACGTCAAAAATAAATTTATATTGTGGCTTATTACCAACGAAAATAGTATTTGC